TTTTTTTTTTGTCACTTGAAAACAAAAGGCAAAAAAAAAGACCAGAAGGCGGCAAAGCAAAGCACTGACTGTTCAAGAGAGAGAGGGAAAGAGAAGGAAAAAAATGGTGGAAAAGAATTGGACAAAAACGAATATGGGTTAGTGTAATGTATCAGAAGAAATTATGTTTTGTTACGGAAGTTGCTGTAAGACAACTGAATGACTGGGCAGTAATTGCTGCTGTTGCTGAATTTTTTTCTTTTGCAAATAAGCAAAAAAAACATCCATAACAAAACAAACCAAAAAAAAAAAAGAGAAAAAAAGGCACTGCATAAAACAACATTTTAAAATTGACAATTTTTTTTGTAGTTTTGGGAATCCATTGTTTTTTTTTTCTTTTTCTTTTTTTTTTTTGATCGTTCATTTATCTTTCGTTTTCATACATTTTTGTACATGTATATTTGTCCAAGTAGATTTTTTTTTTCTGATTTCAGATTGGTTCTGTAGTCGTCCGTGTTCGTTTGTTGCTGATTTTTGTAGATATTCAAAAAAAAAGCAAAAATAATAATTGATTTAGTTTTCCATTGTTATCATCTTTGTTTTTTGCTTAATTCTTTGGCTTCATTCCCTTCTACGCTAAATATACAATCACCGGCAAATCGCATAATCACTAAACAACGAATTATAAGATTTATCAAACACGAAATTTATCAGTTCTGAGTACATTATTTACTGTACAAGTTCAGAATCCATTTATTTCGGCATACTCTTTTCAACACTTCATTTATTTACTAGTTTCCTTCTTGCATGACCATTAAAAAAGCAGCAGAAAAGATAAAAAATTAACAGCAATTTCCAGTGAATTATGCAACTTTTTCCCCCCTCTCTCAATGATATCACAGTTCAGAACTAATTGTGTGAAATTTGCAGATGACACAGTAATCCAGATCGAATATAAAAATAATATGACTTAGAAAACTTTTGGCATTTGATAATACTGTTCATTGTTGTCGGAATGAAGTACTGTAGAATCCATATTCAAAAGTTTGCTAAAAACTCGTTGTTCTCTATTACGTCTGCACAACTATTATCAATTAAAAATATGGGAAGTAAAAACTGTCAAAGAATTTGTCAAAGGCAGAATTGTGAACCGTGTTAAAACATATTTACTAACTGCTTCTGTTACGCAGTCATTGAACAACGCTATTCTCAGCTGCAGAAGAACATCATTTCGCAAACATCTCTAGAAGATTCTGATCTTTAAATTTTTGACCTAATACAGAAATATGTTCCTGCGCGAACAGTACAGCTCGTTTTCAGCTCTGCAAAAAAATTTCCTACCCAACTATGCTTTTAATGATTCGTTGTGATCTAAAATTTTTTCCAGTAAATCAGTGTTTTCTAGAACTTTTTTTACTTGTTTTAGTTCAAAATAATCATTTTTACTGCATGATAGCAGCGTTTTTTCTTCGTTTATTTTTGCGGTGATCCACAATGATAGTGACTTTTAAAGTGGCGTAATAAATTGTAAGAATTTATTGCGCTTATGATTCGTTAGCGTATACCAATTATTATAGAAGTTAAAATGGCAGCTACGGTGACCCGTAATGATTTTAAACACTTCTGGGATACATATTCACATAACGCAGACAATACTGCGATGATGCTGAACCAAAATGCAGAAGAACTAGAAGAACTTGACCGGGTGGACATTTTGTCATGCCTTCCAGACCTGAAAGGGAAAGATGTAGTTGACATCGGTGCCGGCATTGGGTATCTAGCTTTGACTTTGACATTCATTGCTTTTCAATCAAATTTTTGTTTTAGACGAATTAAAGGGAGGAGGTTGTAAATCAGGTTTCTGAATTTTAAAATTTATTCTGAAATTTAATTTCTAAGGATTAACCGTGACATTTGTATAGTCTAAACAAAATATTACGATGAAATTTGAGAGGCTCAAAAATTTTAGTCGTTTCACAGCGATGTTTGCTCAAACGGCACGGCATGTTCTCTCAACAGATTTTATTGAAAACTTCGTCAAAAAAAATCAAGAACTGAACGAACGGCACAATAATATAGACTACCTAGTCGGAGATGCAGTCAATCTTAAACTTCAACCGGAAAGGTGCGTATTGACAGTCGTTCTGTCTCGTTATCAGCTGCTGGTACCACTGAGCCGTTATCTAAATGAGGTTCTGGTGGTCACTGTGCTACAATAGCAACTAATAGAAGCGACTTCTTGCTTTTAGCGTTGATCTTGTGTTCACCAACTGGCTGATGATGTATCTGACAGACGAAGAGGTAATCCACTTCCTAACTAACGCGCTGCGGTGGCTGAAGCCGAATGGTTACATACATTTACGAGAGTCTTGTAGCGAACCATCTACAGGTTTGGGAAGGTCTTTGAGAACAAGTTTCCATACATTTTTGCTTCGTCTTATATTCTTTATTTAGGAACTGCTTTTAAGAGGCCAAGAATGATTAGTGTATGAACTTATTATAATTTTGAACAAGTTTCTTTCTAATTTTAGCACGTACGACTGGAACTATGCATCGGAAAAACTCAGAAAATCCCACAAGTTATCGCTTTTCTTCGTTATACATCAAGCTGTTTCGAAGCATCATAACAGAGGGTAGTGATGGTGCCACTTATCGTTATAAAGTGCTGTGGTCAACTTCTGTCCCCACGTATATTATGGTAATATGTCATCTCTATAATACTGAATTTGAAGAATATTATTCAAAAAGTCGTTAAGATTTATATTATCGCCAAAAGTAATTTAGGATATTGAATGCTGGAAGTTGAACAGCAAAAAAAACCGCAATATTTTAGCGTCAAAATAATTGGCGTCAAGTCCACTGGTTGCTAAAAAAGGAAAGATTTGAAGGAGGTAGCGGAAGCTTACCTTTTGATCGGTTTTTGGACCAGTTTAGTAATGTGTGGAAGAATGAGCAAATACGTTGGGATTCTATACTGAATGGTGAAGAGTGTTGCTGGACAGATGAAGTTTGCTAAACCCTAATTAAATCTACAAAATTTATTAATTTTTTTTAATTTTATTTCTTTTTAAATTTTTTCAATTGTTTAGTATTTTGGGTTAGTAGAACTGTCAGAATTGCAAGAGCTTAAAATACAATTTAGATCTTTGAAAAAGCTCTTTCTATCGAGCCGTCACACCGTAATGCGACGACTTTTTTGTACACTCCACGAGCTTTAGCTTATCACGTTCACATCAATGCTCACCTTCTTTCCAAAGTTAGTTTTTTTCAGCTGTTTACTGTCACAATAACAAATTACAATTCGCTGATTAGGTAACTGCCGAATATAAAATGTAGTTTGTCAGATAATGTTACCAAATCTCAGTATGGCATCAGTAAACTTACAGAAATTTTCCTGTAATGTGTGGGATGTTGAAACCAACGAGTTCTACTATCGCACTAGTTTAACAAAAGCAAACAAAATGCGTGATCATCGAGTTAGATTTGGTTGGAATTCGGACCTTGATTCAGCATTGAATTTTTGGATGGAAAAAAATGCAACCTTTGACTTATTTATGGCAACTGAACTATTATCAACAGTTGAACCGGAAACTATTTCTAAGATCCAGGTAGCCGCAGTGTAATAATAGCAACTAACTTTGAACACTTTAATTATTTATAAAAAGCTGTCAAGTAATGTTACCACATTTCGGTATGCCATCAGATCCAACATTTTTCAGAAGATCATGAAGAGTGAAGCAGTTGTAATATTGCTTGAACCGTTCGAGAAAGATACATTTAGTGAAACAGAAACTAAGGAGGTAAAGTATTTTTACTGTTAAAACAAGCTTTGAATTCACTGATTGAAAAATGATTGGGTCTTTGTAAAAAGAAAAAGTTTTTTGAACAGTTTTTGTATTTTGAATTTTAAGATGGATTTAATGTTTACAGTTCTTCTTTCCGCAAACATTTTTATTCGACAAATTTCTAATTTCAACTTGCATTTAAATTGATGGCCACCAATCTAAATAAGCTCGAAAACGTTCTTAGATTTTTAAGTTGATAGGTATAAAGTAATTGTTCATTTTTTTAGTATAAGGTATACTAGTTGATGTTTAAAATGACTCATTGTTGGAGTAAAAATTGGCAGAGATGAAGTTCGGTTTTCAAAGTTTTTGCCTTCTTCAGCTTCTACCTCTTCTTAAAGGAAAAGCGGCGGAGAGTGTTAAATAATGGAAAAAAGAAGAAAAAATTTTGAACTTTATAAAGCTACTTGAACATTGATACAAAATACTTATTTAAACGTTTGTCAGTTGCTTGTCGTACAATTAACCTCTTTCTTTAATCTAATGAAGTTTACAGTTTAATCATTGGAAAAATTAATTAATGACTTGATTTAATACTGTTCTAGCTAACCTATCCTTTCCGACTCGTTAGATATCTTCGAGTAGCGTTCTTTGTCAACTGCCGCTTTTCTAACTAATTCACCATTTAGGCCAAGTGCTAAATGATGATTTGAGAAGCGATTTTTATCGCTGAATTAGACAGATAGCTCGTGTTTTTTATTATACTTATTACGCTTTTAAGGCAGTATTTATGGGATTCTACTTTAAACTTTTTAAAAGTCATTTAATGGAATGTGGAAGAGCGATATTTTTGCCACTATCGTATATTTGCTGCTATGCATTAAGCACAGAAATTTATTATAAGCCTTTTGAAAATTTTCCTTTTGAATAAAAAACAAAAAAGGAAGTTTATCTCACTTAAATTTATCAATGGTAGAAGAAAGAATTTTTTCAAGGGTTTTTGGGTTTTTATTTAATCTGTTACATTTTCTAGAAATTGTCCTGTTTTGGTGAAATTTCAATAGAGGATGTGACATATGCATGCGATGAAGCAATTTCTGAATACATGAAAGAGCGAAATTTGGTATGTTGTTCGTGTTTTTTGTTGCTTTTTTATTTTTCAGGTACACCGTTACCTTAAAATGCTTTTATGACAACAACGGTTATCTTATTTATTAGTTGTGAATAGCTTTGATTTTTTTTTTGACATAAATTATAAAGTAATAATCAGTGAATACAGAGTACATTTATTTTGGGAATCAATTTGCATTTTTTTAAATCGGGATGCCTGAATTAAACTTTCTTCAATATTCCTTCGTCAGCATCTACACAAACAGTTATCTAAAGTTGTTATTATTGTTCAAAATAACTACAGAATTTTATGTGATACAGTTTAGTAAAACATACAGTTTGATTCTTCTTAATTTGCTTTTTTTTGCTTCTTTACAAAACAGGTTAAATTTGAGCAGTTTCTTTAGCTGTTGATGCCAATAAATGGTAAAGAAAAAAGAAGCACATTTTAGTAAATTAAATCTGTTTGTTGGTTCATGTTTTTTGATTGTCATTTTTTCCAATACCATATTTTTTACGTTAATTTGTTCTTTAGTTTAAGTTATCTATTGCGAGTCAGAGGGAGCTGCAGATGTTTTTTGCTTTTCATACGGTCTAATTGTAATTATTGTAATCAAGATAACAGCGGCGGACAATAATGTTTCAAATTTTTTTCATTTCTTCGCTAGTATTCATTTCTGATGCCAATATGATATGAACGAATGATATACGTTTTCAGACAGATCATTTGCCAGGCAAAGAATGGAGATTGATTTACGCAAAAGCATGAAAATTGATTGAGTTTTTGGTGTATAGCTTTCGTCTTCGTTAACACTGTCAACAACAATGATATTATTGTATGTTTGGTGAGAAAAACCCAGAGGATTAGCGCGCCTTATAGCTTCAAAAGATATCGGGTAGATTACTTGTTGATTATCAACATCCATGAATTTTCTACTCTTTATATGTGGCTCGGTCTCTTTAATTTTGCCATTTAAAGATTGTGTGTAAAATGTAGTTTAATATATGAAAGAGGCAGAGTAAAGCAGTTACCTTATTTTTTGGTTGTTTTCAAACGCGATAAATTTACCGGCATTCATACCTGCAGTAAGGAAGTGGTTCTCTGCTTCCATTCACAAAATATCTCTCATTAGACAGACAGAAATCTTACTGGCATAAAGGTCTTGAGGTAATGTACTGGAAGATCTTTATTTTGGCTTGAAAATTTTCTGTTTGGGTTTCTGTATTTAACAAACTACGCGGAGTCAATGAAAATGAAAATTATTTCTTTGTAAGAACGAACTGATAGATGAAAAGTAGTCATAATAAAGTTGCAAGCTTGAAAACCGCTTTTGTTTCTGTGAAAGGAGTAAGTTGGAGTACAGCGTCAAGCAGCCACTGTCGATGATTTGTACTTGAAATATTCAATTTTTTAACCATCTGACAACTGCTTGGGAATAATTTGTCTATCAGTACCAGCAAAGTATATTTTCAGAGTTCATTTTAGATTAGATATTTGATCAGTTTTATTTTTTTTTTAAACAACTAAATTTTTCTATTTTTTAGTCTTGTTCTTTGTAAATATTATGACAGTCATAAGCAGTTGTAAAAATATAAAGTGAAAAGAAAAGACTAATTAAATTTAAGTTTCACTTGAATAGTTCTGTTAAAAATTGATCTCAGTAAACATGACTAATTTCTTTTTATCTTTATTTTTTTTTTTTACATTTCGCAGTGATTTGTTTAGCATTAAATGAGTGGCTTCAGGCGTTTACTGACTGATTTATTGCAGTGAATACTGTCTAATAATGACTGTTAATTTATTTATTAAAATACATCAAAGAATTTATTTATTAAAATACATTAAAGAAAAAAAGAGCACAAAAAGACTTCTTTTTTTCAATGGCACGAGTAGGTTAGATTTGTTACTTAACGGGGAGTACCGTCCCTGAAGTTTCTGATGTGGAAATAGTAGACAACTGGTCTTTAGACTGTTTAAACGAAGTTTCACTTTAGGTGGGTTGAAGAGAATACATTTTTAAACACACACGAAGATTTTTAGCGTTACCAGTGAGTAAGTGTAAAATTTCACTGAGTCTCTGTAATCGGTGTCGAAACGACAGTGTAAAAGACCACCCTAAAAGATTTGAGTAATTTTTTCACATTTCAAGCACTTGTAATATTAATAGCAGCAGTTAAATTTTTTCCCTAATAGCTGCCATATATCGTACAGAAATTTTACAGAATTTAGTCTGCTTATTCACAATTTTTTTTTTTGAAAGTTACTAACACGATTTTTCTGTACTGTATAGCATTTGCCAGTGGCTTGTTCAGAAAAAGTTTTTTTACTGGCGGTAAGGTGCAAAACTAGACGGTAAATTTTTCAATGAAGGAAGGTGAAGACAGTAACAATAGAAGTTATTCTAGTTCTGTCAACTATAGTATTAGTTTACTTGGGCTCTTCAGTTTTGTGAAAGGAAGGCGTTTTGTTCTTCTTAATTGCTTTGGCGAGAAGTAAGTCATAAGTGGTCAAAGGGTATCTTTTGTTTTTTCTCTGTAAACTTATACCCTGAGACAGCCAAAATACAATACGGGTGATAAGATGGCTAAGAAATCAATGAAAAGTGGTCTTTATTTTAGAGGAAAAAACCAGAACTATTAGCGACAAAAGTTTCACATTTTTGAGAAAATTTTCATACATTTGAAAATAGTGTTTCAAAGTGAGCTGAAATTTTCATGCACTGGGGAAAAACTTGAACATTTTAAGAGTGTAAAAACATTTATAATATTTCTTAAAGTTGTTTACTGTTGAAAAACACTGACATCCAAACACTGACAAAAAAAAGTAATAAATGATGAAGAAATAAAGATAAGTAGCAAACATTATCTAATAACAACAGCTGTCATTATATCATTCCCAGGATGCAAAATTTTACACTTTTTGTAGTGTTCTTTTTTTTGATCAAACTTCAGACGTCTCACACCTACTTTTACATTATTTGTTGCAAATTGCACAGTATCTAAAAAATTCTTCTAGTACGATAAAGATTTCTACTTATTGCAACAAGAGTACTTTGCCGTAGCCAAAGTAACTTCTACTTTACTTCTTCTTTCTTTTTTTTCTCAGCTTTTTTTGCTTGTTACTGTATTTTCCTCTGTCAGTTTACTTTTGTAAACTACCGTACATTTAGAACAGGTAAAAATTGAGAAACGGATCTTCAGGATGCAGAAGCACACAGAAACACTTAAACTCTAAAGTCGATCATTTCAAAGAGATACATTGTACTTCTAAGGCTAAACAAATTTTTTAAAAATTTTCCCAAGAAAAAATATCAATTTTTGCTGTACTGTCATTTTTAAAGATTTCAGCATTTCCGATTGCTGCTTAATGTTTCATTTGTCCTGTGTTGGCGAAACATCTCTTTTTGCCAAACCAAAAAATGGATTTTTTAAAGGAATAGCTGCTGGAAATCTTGGTATTCAAGATGGCTGATTATCAGAGTATTAAAACCGTAAAAACTTTTGCATATTTGTTCCTTAATACTTTAAGTAAGAAAACATCTGTTAAGAAATGTGTTTTTGTTACACTGTAGCAGCTTAATCATAAATTACAAAATTATAACTTTTACCCGGTTTTATTTGAGTTTTGTTAATTGAGTATTTTTGATTAAATGGGTATTAAAAAAAATGTGGTGAACAGAACAAAAATGGTGTAAATTTAATTTACTAATTTGATATTGCTGCAATTTACTGTAAGAGTACAGCAACAGTTTGTTTGAGCCACTTTAAATAGTTAATAACTGTTTTATGCTAATAGTCAAAACTTATTAGTGATGAAACATTTAAGCGTATCCGATTAGCAATGAAGTCTGAACTTCCGCAAGTTTTGGAAATTGAAGCTGTTTTTTTTGTAGTTTTGAGGTAGTGGAGAAAAAAACCGAAAAAACTTCTTTTAACTAAATAGCAAAGAAGTATACACTTTACTGTTGATGCTGGTAGTTTTTTTTTTTTGTTGTCTGTTAAAGTCAATTAAATAATTCAGTAATAAACACCGGAAATTTAGTTGTTCATTTTGACTACTCTTTTAAAGTGTTACAGAAGCATAAGTTTTATTGACAAATAAAAGTATGTACTTAAGTTACCTTAACGGCAAGCAAAAATTTACAAACAGCTGTAACTTCATCACAATACATTCTGAAACAGATTAAAAGCAAAGAAAAAAAAAGGGTTAGAAATTAAAGTATGCAATTTGAAGCAAAATATAGACAGCGAAAAGAAATTAAAAAAAATATACATATATCGAACGATGCAAAAATCACTTTCGTGATAAGTGACATTACAAAGGAAAAAATGATAAACTTATTTACCAAATCTTATGCTTTCTTTTGTTGTTCCTATTGTTGCTGTTTGGTGGTGTCGGTGAGTGTTATTCAATTCCAATACTTTAATTTAACCAAAAAAAGACAAAGGTTAAAAAAATACAGAAATGCTGAAAAGAAGATGAAGAAGAGCAAGAAAGGTGAAACAAGTAAATAAAAAAACAAAGCAAGTAATTTGTATGTTTAATATGAATTTATTTATTTATTCATTCGTTCTTTATGTTTATTCATTTCTATATTTTCATTCATTAATTTATTTGCTTATTTATCAAATTCTTTGTTTGTTTATTTACTTATTTAATAATTTATTTACTTGTCTATTTGTTTATCGGTTTCTTTGTTTGTTTGTCTGTTTGTTTATATTCTTCTTTTTTTTTTCAAGTCAAAAAAGAAAGCTGAATAGAAGTGGCAAAGTGTGGGCTTCAAAAAAAAAAGAAAAAAAAAGGAGTTGAAGTGAAAGGTGTAAGGAAAACAAAAAGGAAGAATAAAGAAAACTGCGTTTGGAGAGGAATAAAACAGAAATGTGAAAATATGAAAGCTCTTACTGTTCTTTTTTTTTTCATTCCTATTTTTAGCCTCAATCTTTTTTTCACTTTCTTTTTTTTTTCTTCAAATGCAAAAGAAAAAATGCTCAAAAGATGAAAAAAAAATGTTAAAAAATAAATTTTTACTCTATCAATAACCTATCAAACTTTTATATTAAGTAAAAAAAAAATTGATTTCTACTATTTTATTACTTTTTTTTTTTTTGTAAATATATTTGTGTAAATACACATACAATATACATATATATCAAAGTGGAAGACGAATACGACGACGACAAAAAACAGAGGAGAAAAAAAGGATAAAGATTAGAGTTAAAAAAAAAAAAGACAAAGTATCAATGAGAAAGCATTAGATCAAAGATCTTTGTTTCGAGAAATTAACTGAAAATGGAAGTCTAGAAAATAGCACCTGAAACGCTGTCATCATAAA